CATGCTGTTCTTCACTGTTAGACTGAAACGAAGCAGAAACTGACTCATTTTCATCATTTTGAGCAAGGTTATTACTAGTCTCGTCTGGAAATACAAAACAATGTTTATCTTCTTCTTTCCGAGCCTGCTCAATCAGTGAATTGCCTTTCTCATTCTCGAAGAACACAACATCTCTAGGTATAAATACCCTGTCTGTAGAGGGGTTATATAGTCTGTAGGCCTTGCTTTCAGAACTATAACCAACCATTATACTAGCTACAGATTTTCTATCCAACTTTTTACGTATTTCTTTGGCTACATGTGCATGAACTTTGCAGCCAAAGATCCGTAGCCCATCTAGCTTTGGTTTGATGCCATTCCACGCTTCCTCTGGGGTTTTTTCTTTGGGACACTTCGTAGGAGATCGATTGAGTAAGTAGACCGCTGTGTTAGCTGCCTCTGCCCAAAAACTGTTAGGTAACTCAGAATCGATCAGCATACATCTCACTCTTTCGACAATTGTACGGTTCAAACGCTCCGCTTTGCCATTCTGCTCAGCTGTTCTTGGCACGGTCAGCTGATGTATAATACCAGAGTCTTTCAAATATTCATTAAATGCTGTACTCAGATATCCACCCCCATTATCGGTACGGAGTGTTTTTATTGTTTTTCCAGTCTGATTTTCAACTAAACATTTGAAAGCCTTGAAATGGTCAAAAGCTTCATCTTTCGTTTTTAGAAAGTACACGAATACCTTGTGTGTATAGTCGTCTAAGAAAGTTAGCATATATCGTGAACCAGCTATACTTTCCATTTCAATAGGTCCACATAAGTCCGAATGCACCAACTTGAGAACTTCTTCTGTGTGCGTTTCACTGTCCTTAAATGGTAACCTTTGACATTTACCCATGACACAAATTTCACACTTACAATTCGTATCAGTATTCGAAAAATCTAGGCCTGATGCCATACCATTTTTGAGTTTATTCAAACTATCAAAGTTTATATGCCCTAGCCTACGGTGCCATAACATTGAGTTTACTGATGCATGGCATGCTATATGATTATTTTCCAGGTCAAGTTTGAATAAGTCTTTATCTAGTGTTCCTGAGGCAATAACATGTTGCTGAGAATCATAAATCTCACAACCAGTGGCATTGAATAAAACAGAACAATTCTTCTTCACTATCTGGCTAACTGATAACAGGTTCACCTTCAAATCTGGCACATAAACAATATTTTCAATTTCCGCATTATGAGAGTCTGAAACAGGTAGGGTAACGCTACCTATTTGATTTGCACACATTCTTTGATCATTCGCAGTGGAGATGGAACACTCAGTGGTAATTTTGACATTTTCAAGTATGTCTAAATTATTTGTCATATGAATGGTAGCAGCCGAGTCCAAATACCAATCACTTTTGCTGTGATCACTTGGTGCAACTGATAACGCTGAATATAGTGCCACGGTGTGCTTTTCTGTATCAATGCTCTTGTCTTTCTTCGGTTTGTCACAGTTCTTGGCAAAATGTCCATACATGTTACACTGGAAACACCGAATTGTTCTGGTTTTATTTGCTGAACCATTGCCAACTCTAATGCTGGTTGACTTTCTATTCCTATCGGGAAATCTGTTGCTGTACATAGCAATTTCATCTTTAGTCGACTTGACATCCTGCAGTAACTTTGTTTTTATGCAGTCTCCAGTTACTGGTACTCCAGAGCTCTCTATGCCCATAATCATAGGCTCATATTCAATGGGTAATCCAGCTAAAAGTATTGTACCAACCCATTCATCACTGACGTTGAGTCCAACACCAGATAGCTTATGTGCTGTGCCAACAATCTTGTTGACATAGTCTTCAACTGACTTGCTGTCTTCCAGTCTGGTTGTTATCAGGGATCTGAGTAACCCTACTCTTCGCGTGAGCCCTCTGTCTTCAAAAGCTTTCTTCAAAGCGTCCCATACACCTTTCGCGGTAGTCTGATTTTGCACATGTACAAAATTGATAGGATCTATCAGGAGAATAATCTTACTCTTAGCTTTTGTTATCCTTCTTTCGTCTGTATCAGTTCCTGTCACGCAGCCCCACAACTCTTCATGTTCCAGATAAGTCTTAACAGCAAATTTCCAACTATCGAAATTCTCTCGTCCTTGCAATTTTTCAATCGAAGGTAATACAGTCGACATTCTGGCTGGAAAAATGAGGCGAAAAAACGATCTTCTCGAAACTTATTTCACGATTAACATGAGCCTGGGCCCATAACCTGTTGGCTGAGTGCGATTTGTGGAAAACAGGAAGGCAATATTTATTAATATGTAATGCTTTATTGATAACTACTGCATAATATACAAAAGTGGCATGAAGTGACAACTTGAGTCAAATCAATAATCATCGTTATGATACAGAGTGGTGAAGATAGTCAGTGGATTTGATACTGTTTTAAATGGTATTCCAACAAAAAGGTCAATTGGTTGAACACCGTGTTTCAAGATAACTAAAGATAAGCCATACTCAATATACTTCAAGAACACACATAAGGAAGGGGAGTACCAAGAAGTGGACATTAAAAGATCTAGCAGAGGAAGACAAAGCTCACAGCCAAACTTTTCTGGTAGCCTTACTATTTTGTTTCCAGAAGGAGAACCCATTTCCGCCAAGAAAATGGCCGATATTAAAAGTCTGATGCCATTCATTCCTAAAGATGCACAGCATTTTTATGAGAATCTCAATTATACATCGTTTGATGATGATATTGACGGATTCGGTGAACATTCTGACTTTCAAATCGAAGATGAAAGTCGTTAACGTCCAACTGGAATTCATCAATTTTGTTTCAATACTATTGTTCTGAATGCAATAATGAATTTTTTGCTTGTTTGAAAACAACCAAAAATTTTTTTTTACGTAAATTGAAAAAGAACCAAGCGCCAAAAATTGAAAAAAAAAGAGTATATTTTTGAAGATTATGTAAAAATATTATACCTCCTAGATAACCATGACAATTATACATCAAAATGAGCAAGGCAACAATATTGAGTTTAACATTGTGATTTATGAATAGACAAAAACTTTGAGTCAATTTTCTTCCCATAATTTTGAAAATGACGCTCGGGTCTTTTTCTAGTAACGCCCTCCTATAATGTCTTCTCCATGAATGATTTGGGCCACAGTATAATTCATCTTTCAAGGCAGAACGTAGTCCCAATAATATTGTTCGTATTGCGTTTGTCCATCTCGATGTCTCATACGCATTTATAGCTATTTTCAAAGTTCTGTGTACTCTTTTCCATTTTTCGCCACCCTCTGGATGGTATGCTGTGTTTTGAACATTTTTGCTCTACCTAATCCCAACAAATTTCTGAAGAGTTTCGAGCTGAGCTGGCAGACTTTGTTATAATTTGCTTAGGAACTCCAACTCTTGTAATCCAGTGAACATGAGAATGTGTTGCTATGGTTTCTGCTGTGATATTTTGAATTGGTGTGACCTCTATCCAGTTTGTGCATCTATCAATACATGTGATGCAATAGACTTCCCCCTCAGATTGTGGAAATGGTTCAATTATATCAATACGTATCACTGAAAATCTTCCATCGGGTGGTTTGCAAGCTTAAATTTTCGGTTTAGTGTGTCTCGTTACCTTATTCTCCTGGCATTCCATACAATAAATTGGGCCATTTTTTTCACATCGCATTCGATACTTGGCCAAACGAATTGACTGTATACTTGTTTCACAGTCGACTTGATGCCAGGATGAATCCAATTGTGAATTTGATGGATATAAGCGTTCGGATTTAATAGAGATGTAGGGTCTTATATTTTCAGTTGAGATGTCACACCAGAAGCCAGTTTATTACATTTGAATGTAAGTGTAAAATCACTATTTTTTTAAGGAGATATTAGTTCATTATCATTTACCTGTGCTCCTGCAATTTTTTTCGTAGTTAATGACTCCTACAGATGAAAGTGTATCTGCTACTATATTGTCTTCACCCTTCACTTGTGGAATTGAGATATATTGTTTGAATGCATAGATAAGTGGCTTATGGTTAGTATATATTTATTAAAATCTCTTCCTTTTAATAGGTGCCGACCATGTTTAATTGATTTGTAAATACTTAGGAGTTCTCGGTCATGGGAACTGTATTTTTTTTGCATTGCTCAACTCTTTGAAAGAGAATGCGATAGGTTTTCATGTGTCTTTCTGCCATCGGTGAATAATTGAACCAATAGTTACATCCGGGGCGTCTATAGATAATGCTAGCGGTAGATCTGGATCTGAAGCCGTTAGTAGCGCTGCATTGGCAAGATCACGTTTACATTTTTCTAACATTTCTTGGGCTGTTTTGGTTCAAACTATTTTTGTTCTGTCCTCTTTTCCCGTTTTCTTGAGGTAATCATGTAGTATGCTTTGTACGCAAGCAGCTTGTTTTAGATGATATCTATACAAGTTTACTAACCCCAAGAAAGTTCTCAAATCCTGAATAGTTTCTGGTAGTTTATATTCTACAATGGCTTGCACTTTCTCTGGCAGAGGTTCAACTCCATCAGATGTAACTAAGAAATCCAAAAATTCGATAACAATTACTCATGAAACGGTTCCTGACAAATTCACTCGTTAACCATACTGATCCAATCAAACTAAAGCTACGTCGAATTCATGCAAGCCAAATGGGGTTATCATTGTAGTTTTTTGCTTATATTCTTCAGCCATTGGTATCTGGTAGTACGCTTTGGAAAGGTCTTTCTTTGGAAAACATGTTTTTTTTCCAATACATGCTGAAAGTCAACTCTAATTCGGTCGCCAATTACCATCCTTATTCGGAGCCATATGCAATGGACTTGCCCATTTCAACTCTGAAGGCTGTATGATATCGATATTGAATTGGAATTGGAATTCCTCCCTCAGCGATTCGTGAACTTCTGGCATCTTGGGAGTCTTCTCCGGCTAGTTACAGGTTCTCCAGTTATTGTAATTCTGTGTCTGATATTATGCTTACTACTACTGCCAAACTTACTACCACTAACAGTAGTAGGTTTGGCAAGCGGTTGTCTTTCATGTTAATTTATATTGATATAGAAATGTTTGAAAAAATCTGCACCAATTATTCCCTAAGCAATTTTGACTAGCTACCACAAAAGGCCATTGGAATTGTCGTCCCAAACCGAGACCGACCGTTACCACCGAGACTCTGACGTAAACAGCTCGTGACGTCACCAAGAGAGGCCAGTGTTTTATTTTATTACTTGTCGACTAACGCGTTAGTTCGTGTTAATTCATCGGTGATTCACGTATGTTTTTGAAACGGTCCCGAATTCTTTTGTTGTTTATTTATCGAAATAATTGGCTGAAAATTTACTGTTTTGTGGAATATTTTGTGTTGTGACTGGCGAAATAACAATGCCTTTCAAGTGTTGTGTTCCCTTTTGTCGGGGGAATTATGTGGGTGGTTCAAAAGTTCATGCTTTTAGTTTCCCGTTGGACGAGGAGCTATCGAAAATGTGGGTATATGCAATTCACCGCGAGGATTTTACTCCATCTAAGTTCAGTAGTAAACAGAGCTTAATTTATAATGATGAATCAATGATAGAAGACAATTACTCTCTTATGAAAAGTATAAGTAGAGGAAAAATAGAAAAGCTTTGATTGTGCAGTTAGTTTTGTATTCGTATAATATAGTCAACAAAATCATCTCGAGGAAATTTTCTTGAATGTTCATAATAAACGGGCATTTTTAATTCTCATTCTCAAATTTCTTTCTGAAAACGGTCATTTGCCTCGTGGCAATGAATGCAGAATTCATTCCAATGAACAAATTACAACTATCATATTAGCATGAACTACAAACACTCTACTTAAAAAGGTAAAACTTCATTTATCATGATATTTATCATGAAGATATTTGACTAAAAAGTTCCGAATTTCACCTTCTTTTTCACCTGTCTTCTGGATGGCATTTAGAACAAATTTCCCTTCTTTTTTCATCATATTGGACAATTTATATACAGGGTGTCCCTAGACCAGTGGGACAGTTAAATATCTTCTGAACCAATAGGAATTTTCAGAATATTATAATTCCACATCATATCGCATTATGAGTGCTAACTTCAGGAATGACTATATACTATACGAGGGGCGCAAGAAAGGCTCACAAAATCGAACATCAATTTTTTCAAATGGAACACCCTGTATTCCACTGCATTTTCATATTCTCCTTGGAGAGCTGAGTTGAACGACCTAGCACACTTGGGGTCTAGCGGGAATGATTTCCGAGATATAGGGTGTGGAAAATCGAGATTTTTAATTTTTGGGAATTTTTTGTGTCGAAACTATTCATTATTGGTCAAAACGGCTTACATGTCCATATCTTAACTTTTGATTTACTATTTACTCGTATTTAATTGAAACAAATACAGGGTGGTGTAGAATTAACAGTTTCAGTCAGAATTCTACACCACCCTGAATTTGTTTCAATTAAATACGAGTAAATAGTAAATCAAAAGTTAAGACATGGACATGTTAGCTGTTTTGACCAATAATGAATAGTTTCGACAAAAAAAATTCCCAAAATTGAAAAATCTCGATTTTTCACACCCTATATCTCGGAAATAATTCCCGCTAGACCCCAAGTGTGCTAGGTCGGTGAATTCAGCTCTCCAAGAAGAATATGAAAATGCAATGAAATACAGGGTGTTCCATTTGAAAAAATTGATGTTCGATTTTGTGAGCCTTTCTTGCGCACCTCGTATAAAATATAGTCATTCCTGAAGTAAGCACTCATAATGCGAGATGATGTGAAATTATAATATTTTGAAAATTCCTATTGGTTCAGGAGATATTCAACTGTCCCACTGGTCTAGGGACACCCTGTATAATTCAACTATAAATATGATTTTCTTGAGATTAATCCATATTTAGTGAAAAGAAGGAAGAATATCATTCAAAATAATGGCGTGTGTAATGTCATTCGAAAGCAATCTAATGACATTTGACATCTCGTATGTTGATTGACTATTGATTAAATGGTAGTGGTCTGGAATGCTTGTTCACCAAATATGAAGAAATCGCCATAAAAATCATATCTCCTGTTGAATTTTCTATATAAAGATGTGCCATCGAAGTACATCATGATTATGTAAAGTGTACAATAACAAAATGAGAGCAAGTAGCTTCAAATGCCCCCAACACAAGGGGAGAAAGAAGGCGAAATTTCGAACTTTTTCTGGAAATATCTCAATACATAGTGGTTTGTTCACATTTTCATTATAAAATTTGGTTTATCAGACAAAAATACGTGAGTACCGAAAAAAATTTTCAAAAAAAACCATCGCATGATGAATGCAATTTTACCCTTAAAAATGACGGTTTCGAGTGTAACGATCCACTTGGGTGAAAAATCCAACAACAGAAAATCGAAAACACTCACTGGTGTTTTTTTCAGGTAATAGGAATTCTCCAAGATGAATAAAGGTAATTGTAACAAACGGCATGTCAATCAAAATAAAATACATTTTCTACAATTTTCTTTCGATCAATCTCACGATAAGTTTATGTTCTGCGGGCCTTGTATAAGTAGGTGTGAAGTTTACCTTCACCACAATTTTTGCCAATATATTCAATTCGAATGGGTTGCTGTAGGTGGATATTTGTGATTTATCCTGGTTTTCGCTTTAAAACTTCGTTTTTCCATAATAAAATCGAATGGGGTGCGAAGAAGGGCTCAGTTGACGACTGGCATCCTTTTTTAACCGGAAGCCCTTCAAAAAACAGCAAAATCGGCTCAATGATGATCTTAAACTAAAATCGAAATACGCGGTCGCTATATAGCGCTATAAGCGCTTTTCGTTTCGAGCCGCTGGTTAGGCCCCACTAAGTGACGTCACCCACGGAGCATTCAGGCCTTGTTGTATCGGTGGTAACGGACCGACTGCCCGAGCAACTGCCACTAGTTTGATTCCACAGGTTGTGTTATTTGCGGCATATGATTCATATGAACTTCTTCGTGTTTCATTGCATGTTGCAGGTAAGATCGAAACGTCGGCGCTACTGTCAACTAGAAATCACCTGTTTTTTTTGTCTTTCACAAATAACCGGGAATTTCGGCATTCTTGTGAGGTTACAGCAGCAGAATCCGCCGCTAATACTACTGACTGTTGAAGTTTTTCGATTCAGTGCCCAATGAATAAGGCTAGGTGCACTTTCCATCATCAAGAAATCTTGCCGCCTCGCTTCAGATAAACTATGATCAGCTCGAAAATAATTTGGTTTGCTGCTCGAACAAGACATTGCTCGACATTCGCAGAGCTATGGGGATTACTTCTGCATGTGTGGTACACTTCCTGAAAAAAACACGAATACAACCTCATTAGGCTCTCGAAACGCGAATTTCCCAGCTATCCATTGACGAAGTTCTTTGCTAACATAGATGACATTGAAGTCACTTCAAGATCTGCAGAACAATTTTTTTCTGTATACCCGAAGCGAACGGGAGAAAATTCCTCACTTGTTCGAGGAACATCGTTTGTACCTAGGGAGAATAGGGTGAGGAAGTGGGTTTTGGAATTCTCTTGAACTTATTGTGATAAGTTTTTGAGAGTAGTTACTTTGGCAAGCAATCCCAAAGCTTCGCCATCTTATAGAATAAAGAAATCTGGAAAGAATATATGATATTCTGAGGTGAACGATGGAAGGGTGTGCTAACTGGGCTTGTCGAGTTCGAGTTCGAACTTGAATTATCGCAAATGAGAGCCAGGATATCTGAAGAAAAACAAACGTGGAAATATCAATGGAATAGAGAAAGGTTGCTGACTTTCCCACGGTGTCCCGATGATGTCAACGAATATGTCAAAATATTATTATGGAACGGATTGTTTCTGTTCTTCAGAGATCATGAGAGGCTGTTGAGACGTGAAGTAGTTCTCATGGTATGTTAGTAATTCAAAATCGAGAGATTAGAGTTTGTAATGGTTTACCATCATTCCTGGGGTCTTCTAACGCAGTTTTTATTTTGGTTTTGATTGTTCTCAGATACCTCCTAGCTAAACCATTACTTCTCAGATGGAATGTGGACTAGTTATGTGTCTCATGCAGTTTCCTTTAACGAACATTTCCATTTGTTTGGATGCAAGCTGTGGACCATCATCGCTGACAAAGGTTTCTGCATTGCCAAATCTTGCAAATACTTCTCTAAATCTTTCTTCAGTTTCTGCTGTTATTGTGCTTTTCATGGGGAAAACTTCTACACAAGAACTACCGCCTGAATCCGTTTTAGAATCTCTTCATACAGTTAGTAGCTCAAAAATTGGAAATAGAAGATGGACTTTTTGGAGAGGATTACAGGAAACAATGCCAAATTGCCAAGACAGTGGAGAATGCAGCAAATTGAATGAACGCACTAAGTCAGAAACAAACAAAATTTTCAAAGCTCAAGCGACCAACATGCACAACGAAGATAGGAAAAAAAAATGAAAGGAGGGAGGTACAGGAAGGAACAGAACATATACAACAACTATCACCACCAGAACTAAGTGAACGATAAATTTTGAATTTTAGTGATTCAAGGCATCAGTCAACAGTAAAGAAGTTTTCATTATTCCCTCGTATATGAACGGAATACATACGTATTCGACGAAATAAATTTGGATGTGCTATCAGCTACTTTTTGTTGTTTTTCTTTGGTACTGAGTGAGCCAGAGCCGTCTAGTACCAAGAATGAGACACTTTATACTGAGGTAAGTGTGCTTGTATCCATCATTTTCCTCGTATGAATCATTGTATAATCAAAAATTATGAACATCCTGAACAATTTCCATGAAATATCCGTTGATCTTTTCGGTGGTGGCTGAGGCTTTGAATTTCTAAAATTTAAATTTTGTCGAAAGCATGAGAGTGACCGAATTTCATCAGAAGGACATTCTCTGAAGTAAACAAGTTACACAATCCTAATTCAAAATTCAAATTCCTTCATCCTTTTCATTGGCGTAAAAGTGTTCGATGTTTATTTACTGAGGAATTCAAGTTCTACGTCCACGAAATGATATTGAGCATAATCATTACATG